ATAAATTCAATGAGCGCTTAAAGCACTTAATGAGGTACATGTAAAAATAAATAAATAAATTTAAAATTTTTTAGTCAAATACATGGTGAAAAATAAATTAGTAAATGAATTAAGTTAGCCTAGCTAATGGAAAAAGTCAAAATTGGGAAATATTAGATAAATAAATGTACTCAACAAGATAGACAAATAAAGGTAAGTAATTTAAAGAAAAGCAAAAAATTTATAGCAACTTTTAGGTTAAGGAATATGACCTAAGTGTTATAATAGACCTTTATCGCATAACTATCTTCGGATAAGTTACAAGAGATCATAGTACTTTGCTAACTTACATTCATTGCACTTCGAATATGGTTAATGACGATAATATTCTCACCCTAATAGATCCTAAGTTGGGGGTGTTATAATTACTCTCACTAAACAAGAAAATACCAATCACCACAAACCTACAAATTCCCTACCACTAAGGTCATAACCAAAAACCTTGCATGACTAGAGACGGAGGATGGGGCTCTGCTTCGGTTATTGAGATAAGTATTCTCCGAGCCATGAGAGTGGTAGGAAGGCACCGAATGTGATAGAGGAACTGAAATGAGATGGTGATGAATTTGTGAATGTAGAAGAAGGAATTGATAGAAATGAGGGAGTAATGGAGGAAGGGTTGGATGAGAAGACTGGTTTGTCTTTACATGCCTTGGCTAAGAGATATGTAAACAACACTATCAAAATTGGAGGATGTTATAAGCAAAGGGAAATCATTATATTAGTTGACGGTAGGATTACTCGTAGTTTCATCGATCCGAAAGTGATGCAAGAAGTGGGAGTTACGATTGAGGAAACAACCATTCTTTTGGTGATAGTAGCCAATAAGGCAAGCATGAAATGTTCAGCAAAAAGTCTCGGCTTAATTTGGTTTATGCAGGGGTATGAATCAAGACCGATTTGAGCATACTCGGAATTAGGAGGTTATGATATGGTGTTGGGAGTAGATTAGCTATGGATGTACTTGCTAGTTTTGTTTGACTTCATCAATATGAAGTTATCTTTTAAGAAAAGGAGGTAGGATGATTGAGCTAAAGGGTGTGACGAAGTGGCATAATGGGCAAGTTCTACAAATCCTTGAAGACAACTGTGTGTGGAGTAGTAGCATAGGTTTTTTCTATTACAGCTCAGGATGAATCTAAAAGAGTGGACAATAGTGAGATAAAGGCACTCCTATTGAAATATAAAGAGGTATATGCTCGAACCTAAGACTTTGCCACATATGAGAACGTTTGATCATAGGATCCCTATTATACCAAGTAGCCAAACCAGATCAACATCGGACCCTACGAAGCCCTTTTATGCATAAGGAAGATATTGAGAAGCTACTTAAGTAGATGTTGCATAATGGGGTCATTCAACCTAGTTGTAGCCTTTTTGCATCTCCAAGTGTTATTGGTTAAAAAGAAAGATGGAACTTGGAGGTTTTGTATGGATTATCAACAATTGAACAAAATCACGATCAAGAACAAATTTCTCATATTGATGATCTATTAGATGAGTTACGGTGGTTCAACATTCTCTTCTAAGATCGACCTACGTTCAAAATATCACCGACTTCGAATGCATGAGCCGGACATAGAGAAGATTGCCTTTAAGACCTATCGAGGGCATTATGAATTCAATATCATGCCTTTTAGGTTGACTAATGCTCCAACTATATTCGAGCCATGATGAACTCAATCCCGAAACCATATTTGAGAAAGTTTATCCTTGTATTCTTTAATGACATTTTGATATACGACCTACATTGAAGTCTCACATTCAACATTTGGCTAAGGTGTTGGAGGTGTTGCTAAGAAATAAATTGTATGCTAGGAGGTCTAAATGTACATTTGGTCAAAGTCAAGTGGATTACTTGGGCCATATTATCTCAAAGGAAAGGGTAGCTACTGATCCAAAAAACAAAAGTTCGTGAGTAGATGGCTAATTTTGAAGTCGGTTAGAGAGTTAAGAGGTTTTTTAGGGTTAGTCGGCTATTACGGAAAGTTTATTCATAATTCCGGATAGACCACCGACGGACTCGCTGAAGAAGAATAGCTTCCATTGGAATAAGTAGGCTCATGAAGCTTTTGAATAATTGAAGGTAAGGTTGTCCGTCGCATTAGTATTGGCTCTACCAAACTTTCACAAATCTTTTGTTTTGCAAATTGATGCTTGTAGCAAGTGGTTTATGAGTAGTATTATCTCGAGAGGCGGACCCTAGCCCTTTTTAGTAAGGCTTTATGTCATAAGCACTAAGGGTTGTCCATTTATAAGTAGGAGTATTTGACCATTCTTATGACAAGTGGATAAATGGAGACATTACCCGAAGGTAGATAAATTCGATATCAAGACCGACCATGAAAGCCTTAAATATCTCATAAAACGGAAGATTCGCACTCCCATCCAAAGAAAAGGACTTACAATACTGCTAAGGTTGAGATTTGATATTCAATATAGGAAAGAGAAAGAGAACATAGTAGCTAATGCCTTGTCTTGTAGAGCTCATGACACCGGTGGTGCTATTGACGATGTTCAAGGAGAACACCTTAATGCTATAACCACTTTGGTTCTTACTTGGTACTAGGATATTATAGTATTAAGTCAATAAGATGTCAAAGCACAGGAGGTCATCACGAGCTAAAGAGTTTCGAGCTAGTGTTTTTCCTCAATTTTCTTACAATAAAGGCATATTGAGGTATAACCACATGATTTATATTGGTGGACATCGGGAGTTGAGGATACGGTTAGTAAAGGTTGGTCATCATTCCGTTATTAGAGGACATGCGAGTATTCAAAATACCTACAAGAGGCTCAAACATGCTTTTTATTGACCAGCTATGAAGTTGTTGGTTAAAGAATAGGTGGATAAGTGTGATACTTATATGAGAGCAAATTCGGAGATATTAGCTTACCCACGATTATTACAACCATTGCCAATTCCAACGGGAGCATGAAGGAATATCTCTATGGATTTCATAGAAGGTCCGCCCAAATCGAAGACAAGGATACTATATTAGTGGTTGTATGCGGGTTCATAAAGTATGACCACTTCTTTGCCTTCTCTCATCCCTTCACGACAAAGGATGTGGCTAAAACATTCATGGAGCACATTTTAAGTTGCATGGAATACCAGCCTCTATTATTACGTACATGGATAAGGTCTTCACCAAGTGTGCTTTAGAAGGAGATATTTAAGTTTTTAGGGGTCCAACTTCATATGAGCTCGACCTACCATCCCCGGATAGATGGCCAAGCCGAGAGGCTAAACCAGTGCCTAGAAACTTACCCGAGGTGTATGTTTATAGATTGTCCACGAAGATGGCATAAGTGGTTATATTTGGCATAGTGGAGTTACAATTCCAACTTCCATTCCGCCATTCGGATGTCCCCATTTCAGGCTCGAATGGCTATCCTCCTTCCCATAAGGAGCTCATTTTGCATGGAACATCTATTCGTCGCTACTATTAAGCAAGTGGTATGGGGAAAAGAGTTATGGACTTGTTCCTATGAGCACGATTGGGTAAGGTACAACACCGGATGAAGCAATTAACTTATCAAAAGAAGATTGAAAGTGGTGTTTAAAGTACGAGATAAGGTTTATCTTAATCTTCGACCTTATAGATAAATCGGTATGGCAATGAGGAAGAACTTCAAATTGAATCCTAGGTACTTTGGCCTTTATTCCATTTTGTAGAAAGTGGGACAGAGTTGCTTACAAATTAAAGCTACCGAGTTATTGCTCTTGTCCACCCGAGCTTTTCATGTTTCCCTTTTAAAACGGAAGGTGGGAAGCAATGCAGTGGTGGCCATCGATCTACCACCCATGAATGAGGAACGTCAAATAACACTATATCTTACCTGTTGTTTTGAATCGCAAGATTATGAAGCGCAATAAGCAAGCGAGTGGTTATGGAGTTAATTCAATGGGCGGGAATGACGAGTGGATTATGCCATCTAGAAAGTGTTGGAGAACTTGAAACATCAATTTTTAGATTTTTGCTTCGATCCTCGAGGATAAGGATCGCGGTTAAGAGGGAGGCAATGTTACGGTTATGATCAATCATTGGAAGATAGAGGAGTGCGAGCGAAGTGGAAAGAATACGTAGGAGCAACAAGTGGATATTACGAGAAAGCTACATAGATAGTAGGAAAATAATGGTCACTTGCTGAGGTGACATTTGTTATAACTAATGGCTAACGTGGCGAAGGTAACAGATTAGGTGACATTACAGCAGTAGTTAGACAATTAAACATTAGTTAGCAACAATAAAAGATGTAATGGTTAGTTGTACAATTCACTGAATGAAAATAACAGAAATTCATTCTTGAATTCCTGTCTCGTCTCTCTTCTTCTTCTTCTTCTTCCTCCTCCTCAGATCTTCTCCTTTTTGTTAATCAGTTTGTTAAAGAAAGCACTTAACGTATATATGTTGAGAAGAAGATTTGTTGAGTACGACAACTGTAGAAGAGAAAGTAGGTTTTTTTTTAGTTTATAATATTTGATCAGTAGCTGTAAGAGGCGATACAAAAGTTTGTAGTAGATGGGAAATGGGATTTGGTGAAGGAGATTGGATTGAAGGATTTTCCCTCGTGGGGAAACCTTCGGCAACGAAGGACGGAAGGACGTCAGTTTTCGATTGCTTTGCTTCATGATCGCATTGAATTAATCGTTTTCTTATCGCTCGTCTTTGGGAAAGAGGACATCAACAAACTCCAATGTCCCAAGTCCCAAACTTTTGTGACCTTTATCCAAGGTGTTCAGGACAAGGTGGGTCCCAAGTTGATAGTGTCTGCGGTGGTGTGACTGATAGCATGAAAATGTCTTATTTTTCGGTGAGGATAAGAATAAGAACATGAATATATTTTATTTTGTGTAGGGAACGAGAATAAAGTAGTTAAAATTATTCATTCAAGAAACAACATGTCACAGGTCGGCCGAATTTTACCAATATCTCACGATTCGAGTATCTATGATGTCATATTTGCCGACCTGCTTTGTCCTTGCGTCTGTGTTCTCTATCAATGTGATTTTTAGCTTTCAAGTTGGATTGTGATTTTGCCTCTAGTTGCTGCTGTAACTATATACCTCTATTCGAGGTTATGTTTAAAAAATAAAATAAAAAAATTTGATTAAAAGAATTGCTGAAATTAATATTGCAAACGCGAAAGGAAATGAAGTTAGAAAAATTTATGTATAAAAAAAGAATTTTTTTTTTGAGGTTATTTAGCATAAAGATTTCAATGAATTAACGACCAGTATCGTATTACCAAACAGATCTGGATTAGCTTCGAACTAAAATTTGAAAGCAAACGGATGGTCTGCCTAAATAAGGAGGAGGAGATAAAGTGATGTAAACTAAACCAGGGGCCACAGCCACAGAGCCGGCTAACCATAACCTAGAAGTAAGTAGGTCTAAGTTTTAAAAGAAAAATAGAAAACTTAGGGTAAACGAGGACAAAAATGCCACGTTGGGATCGTGGAACTTTATTGGGTGTTGGGGGCTGTACACAGCCCCTACACGGCTTCTCTTAGCTCAGGTCCTTTTCAGTGTTTGAATGCGCCCCCTCTGTAGTTTGACCAAGATAAACTTCGTTTATGTAATGACCAAAAACCCCCTTTTCATATTTTCCAGGGAAACTAACTCCAATATGCAACTGTTTGGTTTTTTGTGCTATCTTTTCTATTTTCTTTCTTGTTTTTCCTTTTTTTTTTTTAAAAAAAAATTCTTCATTTGAAATGTCCTGAGATGCAATTCTGGGTGGGTTATTTTCTATAATTAATTGCAACTTATAGCCAAAATATAACTATTCTTGTGATATATTCCGATTATTGAAGCTATAGCTTTTTATAAAAACAATAGATAATGCTATGTATTTCAGGAAAATAAATTTTAAAGTAGATGCTATAAGGGTCATTAATATCTTTATTATACAGTAATAATTAAGAATAATATACGTATGGTGATTCATGAACTTATTTATTAATTAAAAAGTCTTTTGATATCATTTTTGATTTTCGTTTTATTTTGAAAACTTGATTTTTTTTTAAAAAAAGCAAATCAAACAACAGTTGTCATAATTTCTTAAAATTCCTTGTTTGAGTTGTAAAAAGTTTTACAAATAGTTTATTGGTTTTTTACGTTTTTAAAAACAAAAAACCAAAAAAAAAAAAATTTGTTTCTATTTTTAATTTTTTAAAATAAAAAAATAGATATAATACAAAACAACTCCTAAACAATTTCAATAATATAAAATTCAATGTATAAGTTAGGTATGTAATGATGTTGTCTATTCATTGATGAAAAAAAAACTATAAATTAAGCGTTTAAGTATGTAAAAAAAGTGATTAAAAAATAAGAATTTTGATAATTTATCTTCAAATAAAAACAACTTAAGAGTGAGGATTAAATCCAATATTGTTTAATCCAACTGTTTAGGATGAACGAAAGTTCATCTTACTAGAAAGGAGGAAAAGCCACAGAACTTACACAGCCATACAAGGGCAGTAGCGTAATTGTGAGAGAAGATTAGCAAGCAATTAGCAGCGCCATCATAAGAGTGGGCCCCAGTAGCAGTAGTGTCTGTCTCTGACTCTCTACATACAAAATCTCTCCTTTTCCTTCTATATAACCAACAACCATAGGTAGGAGTAGGACTCCCATTCTCATCTCCAACAACCTTAGCTAAGCTGTTCTTCATACAAAAGTTCCTCACTTCTCCATCCATCGCTATAACCATGACCTTCACTACCATTTCTAACTACTACCTTCCTCGTCGGCCATCCCAATCCCAATCCCAATCTCACAGAAGAAAAGGTCACAAAAAGAATGGTTTTCGAAGAAGATGCTTGTCGATGGCAAAGCAGCAAAAGACACGTTTTTACATTCTTGGACGTTGCATCTCCATGCTTTTGTGCTGGCATGACCATGCTATACGTGATTGATTGCAATCAAAATAATCATATCTATATTTGCTTTTACTCGGTGTGAAATTAAGCTGAATGGATACAGAGCCTGGCCTCGCCCCACATAGCAAAGCCGCAGCTAGTCGATTGGTTTAGGTACTTAATTTCAGGCTTAAAGACAACAGAAACACGCACTTGACTTGGGTGCAACAAACTGGAGGCCCAGCCAGGAACCAGGAGCCAGCCCTGAATCTTCGAGTCTCTGCATCAGGGAAATAAATACAAGAGTACTGGAGGGAGGGGCTAATCAAGCATGACAATTGGAGTTAATTAATTCCAATTGCTAAATGATTCTTCAAGAAGTGGGAAGTAAAGGCCACCGTGATTTTGATCACCAGTGCTCGAAAGGAAAGGGAAAATCAATTTTTTTTCCTTTCTTTTAATTCAACTTTTTGTCTAGTTCATAGTGATTTTGTTTTTTTTAGGAGGGAGGCTTTGAAGAAGATTACACAGGACACATCTGTGTATATACACCCTAGTATAATAATATTTTTTTTTCTTTTTTTAGGAGGGGAGGCCCCAAAGAAGATTACATAGGACACATCGCGATTGTCCTGATGGTCTGTGTACATATACATACATGTATAATAAAATAGAAATTCTAAATAAAATACAAGGAGATGTACAATCCCGTGAGCTTCAACTTGGTGGCATTTTCTCATTTTATTTTATTTTATTGTTTAGCAACGATTATTCTCAAATTAATTTTTCTTTCTACTTGTGATGGAGATCCTTTTCCTAACCAGGCCCAACAAAAAAGGTCTAAGGGCCGCCAACTTCAAAACTTGTCAAGCCCGCAACACTAAAAAAAATTGCCCCATTGAGTAGATCCTGAGCAGATCCAAAACAGCCTTTAAAAAAGAAGAAGAAGAAGAAGACTGTAAAATCCTCTCACTTAAATTAAATAAAAAAAATTTCTAATAATAATTTCAATCAAACACAATCACATTAATGCCGTTACTGAATTAAAATATAATAGTGGCAAAACATCAACATTTATCGACAACTCCACTAACCTCAAAAGGAAAATAATATTTTTACCCTTTGGCTCATGCAAGATCATCACTACTAGAGGCTCGAAAACTAACACTAAAGGACAAGCTCTATAGGCAAGAGATAATTTTAATATTAAAAAAAGGATATTCACATGATACTTCTTGTCCTTTCTTAACTTCTAATACAAATGCCATTATCTCACTTTTATTCCACCAAAAATGCAATATATATATATATATATCAAAAAGAAAAGAAAAGAAAAAAGAATTAGGTCTCGAGTAATAAAGATAAGTGCTAGACATTGGCATAGATTGTTTATGTTTGATTAATAAAAAAAATCAAAATAGGAAAAAAAAATAGTGAAACTAACCCTAGATACATTCTATAAATAGCTTGCATACACATAAAAAATATTAAAAAAGAAAAGAAAAAAAGAGAGGAAAACACAATAACATCTTGAAAAAAAAAACCTTAGTAACAAAAAGAAAAAAGAAAAAGAGAGAGCCAAAACAACGAGTAGGAGTTCTACCCATCGTCGCTCGTCACATGTCCATCATCGACAACCATGCATCGAACCTACTCGATTTTCCGGATGAGATGATCCCAATACCACTTGAACCGCCTAATTCCGACCACCACAAAGACCATATGTGCCTCTCAAACTCTCGTTGTCCTTGGTGAACTTTTATCCGTTTCAATCCTCAAGCTTATAATTTTGGTAATTGCACCCCTACTTCTTCAATTTATTTTAGTTTAATTTTCATCTAAGTTTTTGTGTTGAATCATTATTTCTTTAATTCATGTGCTAGTGATGTTTATTATATAATTAACATGATATTTGGATGAATAATTGAATTAAAATCTTTTAAGTTGAGGTCTAATTGGAAAAAAAATTCAAATTTAAAGTTCTTAACATTAATTTATAGATTTAAAAGGCTTTGGATTTGGGTTTATTATTGTTTATGTGCGTTAAAATTTAATTTTTATGGGGTAGGGAGGGTCAATATTTCTTGATTTTTATTTTTCTCTGATCTATCTATTTTTGTTTTCTAATATATTTATTATTTTGAATATCTTCTTATATAAAAAAAGGTTTATGGGTTTGACATATTGTATGCTATTTTTATTTTTTATACAAAAAGTCATAAGGAACTTTTGGTCAATGATGAATCTAGCAATAGGCTAGCCATTTTTTTCTAAAAAATAAGCTAACAAGAATTAATAGGCTATGGATCCGGCGAAGGTTTGTTGGCTATTTTATACCATGAAGTTGTTTTTATGTTGTTAGCATTGGTGCTCAAGATCCAACCATGTTTGGATGGGCTCGATTAGTGTATTATTGCATCATTTATTTTAATAATAATAAAGAAGTCATTTTATTAATTCTTATGCTTATATATTGATAAATTCGGTAGAATTAGATAAAAGTCTTTATAATATGTATTTGCAATAGTGATTGATCGAAAGATGTGAGACAAACATTAATGCTTGTAAATGATATCATTAAACGTCACAAGTCGTAGTATTGTTAAGAGTGGACATGAAAATATGTAGATAGAATTGAGAGTGCTATGCTCATGCTATATGATAATAGTAGGAGATCTCACACCTATTGGCATGGTGATATTAAAGCAAACATTTAGGTGATTTATGTTAGAGAACATATCATCTGGACTTGACTTGCCATGAGAACCCATTTGGTTTTCGTCTATGGGAATCTCATACGAGATGGGTAAAAATGGTCCTTAAACTTGAAGTCATTACGGTTATCTTATTGGAGTATTTATGCACTTTGATACTCATTTCGATGGACTCATTAATGGTTTACACGTGGGCAATTCTTTGGATGTACTAGGAATCCAATGGAGATAGGTGTATGACTAAGATAAGACATGTCATTCCTTGTATGCTAAAAGAGTTATCACATTGCACTTCGATAAATGTTTGCTCAAGAAATCTGTAGCCACGGTAGGAGTACATCGATAGAGCATAGTTGGTTTACTCTAAGAGCTAAGACATTTCGGATTCGAAGAAAACTTGTGTTATCATAATCGGACAAGACTAATAACCAAGTTTGAGATCACATTGTGATAAGTTGACATGATGATCGAATTGTATGGTAGCTATGCTCGTGAAAGGTAATAATGGATTAACTAATCCTTCAGAGAATTGGGTAGTTATGATGCCTTGTTAGAAACCAATCTTGATTTATGTATCAAGAGATAAAAGATGAGTCTTTTATTTTTGATACATTGCCAACATATCTAGGAGCCTATTGAGTCACACGTATAAGTTTAAGTATTCACATTATAAATGAGAAGTAAAGATATTGGAAAATGTTTCCAATTATAAAAGTTTCTTATTTTGGAAAGAGTTTCAAAAAATGAAAAATTTTCTATTTTAGAAATTAGTTTCCTAATTTAAAAGTTAGTTTCAAATTTGGAAATAAAGAACCTAGAAGGAAAGGAATTGTCCAATTTAGGTTAAAGGGTATTTTGAAAAAATGTTTCCTAATGTGGATCGTGTCAAAATAATCTAAAAACATTTATTTGGATAGTCCAAATAAATTGATTGAGCTAAAATAGTTTTGGCCCATTAAATTTAATTAAGAGCTTTGAGATAATTTTTGTGGAAGGATAAACATCAACCTTATTGGATAAGGTTAAATGTTTTAAAGACAAACATTAACCTTATTGGATTAGTTTGAATGTTTTTAAAAATAATAATCAAATAGTTCACATATAAAATAACTCCTCATCATTGAAGGATAAGAAAGTGATAACCTAAAGTCCTAAAAAGACTTGTGGCCACCTCTCTCCTTGTCCTTGGAGGACAAGGAAACTCGTCCCCTATATATAGGAAGAGAGGTTCGGCATGGAGAGGTTAATCAACCTAAAAGAGTATTTCTACCAAGTTGAAAAAAAAAGGCAACATTCGGCCAAAGAAAAAAAAAGGGTGAGCAAAGTTTTGGCCGACTCTAAAATTAAATAGGGCATGCGGCCAAGAGAGAAAAATAAAGAGAAAATAGTTTTCTAGTAAACCCTAACAAGAAATAATTTTTCCTTCTCCTTTAAGATTGTCACAAGATTACCCGAGATTGATTTTTAGAGATAATATTAAATTAGAAAAGGTGAAGCTAGCACCTTACCGATTTTGAGTGCTTCTTTGTGGATACTTGGATCTGCGCGGATCATCAATAGAGGCCAAACACTTGGATGGCTTTTCTAAAAAGGAATTTAGATTTACGCTATAAGAGGTAATCCTTTACTTATAGCTTATTTTTCATAAATGTATGGTTAGTAGATTCAATGGCTTGATCTTGCGGCCTTAGATGGAGGAAAATTTTTGTTTATTCCGCACTCGCATAGGATGCATGATCCTTCATATGTGATTCGTAATTTGTAAATAGTTGATTTTATTATGTTTTGCACTTTTTGTGTTTATTTTATGTGATTTCAATTTAGGTTAGTCTAGATGGAATAGATTTAGGATTTGAGATCGATTTGTTCCAATAACGAGCCTTTTCTCGTTATTATTTTATTTTATTTTTTATCATTATTATTTATATCGTTAGATGTCAATTTTAATTTATTTCTAGTGTTATTAATTTCTTCTTCTTGTAGATTTAGCTCCGAATTTGGACTTTGATCAAACGTAATATTTTAAAATGGCATGGCATGATGATATGGGCTTGAGGCCCAAGTCCAATTTTATTTATTTATTATGAATTAGTAATCATTTTTATTTCATGATTTAACTAGTGAATTTAGGCTTATGGTCTATGTATGTTCTA